TATAATAAAATTCTTGCTCCCAGAGTCATGGGAGGTCACATAAAACTATTATTTGGCATTTAGATTTGCCATAGGGCTTCAGAAATTCTTGCTACTTAATCTTGATAGAAACAATCAAAACACACACGTATCCAGACACACACACACGGGTACATGTGATAAATGAAAATTATGAAATGGAGTATCTGTGCAGTTTTTTCAGTTAAGTCCAACAAATATATTGTGCATCAGAGCATTAATCTTTTGTATATAAGCCTCAAGATTTCTTGAGTTTAAGGCTTATTGATTGATCACTTTGATGTCCCTCTCTATATGTCCTGAATCCTATTCTCCATTAATTTCTTCAATCTGGAAGCTTCTATTTTGATGTCTGGTTTTTATTTTCTTTTAGAGCACATTTTAAATAGTGTTGATAACTATGTTGATACTAACGTCTTTTTCTTGTTGATCAGCATTGGTTATATCAATCCCGAATTATACGCTTTGGGAGCAGATAGTTGGAGTTCTAATGCCTCTCAAAAGCTGTCAGAATCAGATGTCTGGATGCATAATTATGCTAATGCGCTGTGCATAAATTCTTGGCAGGTACTTGCTGAATCTTATATTCTTAATTACAAGTTACTGTTTCTACACTTTTTCTGCCCAAATTTTGGCTATAAAGTTGTGAAACGGACTTTATGGTGCAATTCGAAAGTTAGAATACTCTCTTTCCTGGTTGCAGCATTTTCTCTTCTCCTCGTGATATTCGTTGACCTGAAAAAACAGCAATCTTTCTTCTTCTTGTCTCATTTAACAAAATTCTCAGTTTGGACTTTTGAGAATCCCATGCTAACTTTATAAAAAACGGTTTTCTGTTGGAGCTTGTTAGTTGATACAAAAAGGCTGCTCAAGCACCAAGATAGACAAGTGAATTATTTAATATGTTAATATTTTTTAGACTGAAACAAACATATCCCGCATTTTCTATCCCAATTGAACATACGAGGACTAACAAATGCTCGCACATATATGTATGTACATATATGCATTGTCATTGCAAAATTTTTTATACTATCAACTGATAAGAAATCAGTCCTGTTATAACTTTAAGGTGGTTACTATACAAATCAACTAATTTATCATACATGACTACTTGTTATTGGATAGCAATGTAGAAAACTTTAACGTTGTCAGTGTCAATGCGTGATTTATTTATTCTTAAAATATGCTTTATGCTTTGACATTTTTGTATTGTAAGTAAACTGAGTTTCATATTCAATATACTAGCATTATTTTTTCATAAACAATAAATGCAGGACATTTTTGTGGTGCTAGTAAATTTTGATGGTTTCTGCTGTGGTGCTGTATGTAAAAATATTATTCACAAACTTACCATACATGTATTATTTAATTAGAAAAAACGTGAGTCTTTTTTGCTTTCAAAATAGCTTAATTATTCTGTAGGGAAATCTTGGGTTTTACTACCATTTGATATTTAATTACGGCAACCAATAATGCTATAAGCAGTAAGGAGCGTGTGTGAGATATCATTTAGTCATTTGAATAGTGATTTTCTCCTTGTTTAGGTGAAGAGATATGTAGATGCTTACTCAGCTTCATCAGCAGTTGGATTTTCTCGTGATGACTTATCACGAATAGCAAACATCTATGCTGCAGCGGAGAATCATTGGTCACATTCCACCAAAAAGCTTCTGCTTGATAGACAAAATGACAGCAATACATCAGTGTCTGCACTTAAGAAGCAAATTGAAGCATACTTCAAGTTCCTAACAGCAGTCACTGAATTAGCTCGGTCTAAATGGACTGAATTTGATTTGAATATGATGGGAGTTGGCATTGGAATCATGTTAATATCACTTATATTTCAAGTTTTTACCATTTTAAGGACAACCAAGGAGCATGATGGGACATTTTCATCGTATGGAGATTCGTGGATGGGCAATGCCTCAATTCTTACAATCTTTTTACTGGGCATTCGTGCATTCAGTTTCCTTTCAAACAGTTATATCTGTAAGTGTGCAGTTTTTATCAACATACTCTCCACTTTGTTTATCCAGAATCTTTAAAATAGTCCTTGTATTTTTTCACTCTATCTTTTTGTCAGTGGAGGAAGGGAAAGTAGCGAATTTTCTTTTGAGCACATCTGGAATTGTGACATTACGCCAATCAGTTAACATGGGAAAGCTGTTAATAGAAGTATGTGTTTAGTTTAGTTTTTTATTTCTGTCCTCTGTCTAAAAGCTTAGTTTATGTCTGGATTTCCTGACATTCTAACGCAAGTGTGCCTATAGAATTTTCATTGGAATTATAATTAAATAATGGCTCTTTAACCTGTCTATGTTTTCTGCAGAGCATTGGGTTTCTTATTTTGAGCACATTTTGCCGTTTTGCAATTGAAGTTGGGCTGTCCAAGCAGGCTGCCACATCTGCTTTTATGAAAGACTATTCCTCATGGATCATCAACATAGCCTCAGGTTTACCTGTTTGGGACTATGCAGCTGAAGTTGTCCCAATACTTGTTCTGATTATGTTGGCAGCTTGGCTGTACAAGGCCACCAGTGGCTGCTTCTTTGATTGGCCATGGAAGTTTGTCATACTGGGCACTATATTAAGTTATATGCTAATAATTGCTCATTGGATCACAGACAGTAATAGATTTGATGGCGCATTGATACCTCAAAGCATTGGAAGAACTTATATTCCTAGAATCATTTATGCTATTGCTTTGGGGCAGTTATTTTTTCTGACATTTGGTCAATTATTTAAGAAAAGCGATTTAGATTGCAAAACAAATTTAGTTGCAAAAACAACATCCATGTTATCTGCGTGGAGTTCAACTGTCATTCTTCTCTCAGGAAAACAGGGTCCCATTGTTGCTTTTGCGTCCATGGTTGGAGGTGCTCCTTTTTTATTTTTTTGCTCGTGTTGTATAAATTGTCTATATCTTGCTGCATAATTCTCCAATTCATTTCTTTCATGAGCTCAAACATGCTTTTTAGTGAAGAAATGTTTAATTTTCTATGTGTTCCAGGTTGTTTTATTATGAAGTTTGTTAAAATAGAAGGTGGTAAGGATGGACCTCAGAGAAGTTTTTCTATAATGCAATGGAGCCTCTTTGCTACGTGTCTTTTCTTCTGTAGTGGTCACTGGTATGTCTGTAACTTTCAAAGTTTAATTTTGGAGTTATAATTATCATTTTTAGTAGGTGTATGCATAACATTGCAACTCTCTGTTCTGCATTCCCGTTGTCTTGTAATAATTTTGAAAATTATGGTTTCAGGTGTGCATTTGATGGTCTCCGCTACGGTGCTGCATTTATAGGGTAAATAATTATTATTGAACTCCTTTTCCTTTGGAAGTATGTTGGGACTCTAAACAAATGTAACCATTACAATCAACCCTATTATTGTGTTCGAATAATTAGTTACTGGCTTTAAAAGGGTCATCTCTGTCGTTATTATTGCTATACACTTTGTAAATCAAATAATTGAGACTGATTAATTTTCAGGTTTGAAGAATTTGTGCTTGTTCGCCAAGCAATCCTCCTTACTATTGATACATTTGGCTTTTCTATCATTCTTCCAGTTTTTGGACTCCCGTTTCTTGTAGCAATCAAGTACCAGGCTAATCTCGGAAGGCATTTTGTTTTCACACAATTGTCTCAAGTGAGTTTTCTTCATTTATTAGTAGATCTACTAGTTGATCATTGCATGCATTGCTTGTTCAATGAAATAACCACTCAATGTTTTATATAGATATACACAACATATGGGCTCATAACAGCAATGACGACCACTTTCACGATACTATGTGTCACAATCCAAAGGCGGCATCTGATGGTAAATTTTCTATTTTTAACTTAAAATAGGTTTGATTTACCCATATATCCATATTTGATGCTTGTACAGTTTACTCAATGCTTAATAATTTTTGTAGGTTTGGGGTTTGTTTGCTCCGAAGTTTGTTTTCGACGTGTTCAATCTTATTTTGACGGATGCATTAATTTGTTTGGCCTCAATTTACTATTTTGATGAAGGGAGGGATGATCCAGAACTGAAATCACCAGTTCGCTGAATAGCATACGTATACTATCCATTTACATTTTTTGTTCATGTTTCTCACAGTTTGAGTTTTTCCCGCTGAACGAATTTTGTCCACTAATTATGTAATATAGAAATATTTGCAACTCAAATTGATTTTTTCTTACCCAATCAATCAATGCATGATTTTTTGGTGACGCTATCTAAGAAAATATTTTCATGAACTTGATTTTTCTACGGACTTTTACCATCTATATTTTGGCAAGTAGTTGGTTGTGTCNGATTAATCCAAAACAGCTCATCAATCACATTTCACAATTTCCACCATTTTAACAGTTAAGAACATACATTCACAAGCTGAATTTTTAACTGCACAGCACTTTAATCACAGAATTCATCACATACAACACCAATTGATAATTAAAATACAACCTAGCTTCCCTTACCTCAGAGATAAACAACCCCAAACACAGAACGCTCCAACCGTACCTTGCACGGCAAGGAAACTCAACAGAAACCTATAACTTACCAATTGGTGATGGAGAACAACACTTAGAACCTAATTTGAGCTAGAATTTGAAAGAGGACCAGTTAACCACATGCAATACAAAATCATTGCATGCTCACAGTCCAGAGAAGAACGGACAGAAATGGAAACCACTTACCAGCTGAAGAACACAAAATTTGATCGGTCCAAAATCAAGCCCTCAACGTCAGGCTCGCTTAGACACCTCCTGATCATTGAACAGATAACTCAGCAAGAAGAAATTGTAGAGAGAATTCAGAGGACTCTGAGGAATAGAGTTCTAGAGAGATGAAATGTTCTTAGAATAATGAGAAGTGTTATAAAATTTCTATTTATATTATAAGATTATTTTAAAGTAAAATAATCTATCTCATTATTCTAATACACCAATCTGCTCTATAACACTCTATTTTTTAGGTCTTTACATGATCCATGTAATTATGAAGCTGACATTAATCTTTATAATTTTGTGCTTGGATTTTAATATTTTTCTGGGTAAATTACATATCAGGATGGGAAGAATGTTTGTTTCAGCTCCATGCAGCAGGTTAGCAAATTTTTTTACTTTGTAATGGCATTTTGAACACCTCTTATATAATTTAATATATTGATATCTGTATGTATCCAATTGCCTATCATCCTTTACAGCTAGACTTTGCAGTAACAATCTCAGCATTGCTTGGCGTACCTTTCCCATATGGAAGGTGCAGTGTAAGCATCCTGTCTATATTACTACCGTCTTCCTTTGTCTTATATCAGTATAGCTATATAATTTGCTAGATCTATTGACTAAAATTTTCTATTTCGGTAACATTCTGTTTTCTGGTATGAGTTGTGGGTTAAGTGGAAGGATGTTTAGGTCTCAATCTTGATTCAGTATTTCATGTTTTGAGGTGGTTTACAAAGGCATAGGATATTTATGCATGAAAGTATTTGTTTTAAGTGTTATTTGGTGTTGAGAATTTACAGAAAATCATTGGGTGTTGAAGGGGGTTGAAATTTGTTTTTTCTTAAAAAAATTTAAGAGAATAGATGAATATATAATAAAATTCTTGCTCCCAGAGTCATGGNCATTTTGAACACCTCTTATATAATTTAATATATTGATATCTGTATGTATCCAATTGCCTATCATCCTTTACAGCTAGACTTTGCAGTAACAATCTCAGCATTGCTTGGCGTACCTTTCCCATATGGAAGGTGCAGTGTAAGCATCCTGTCTATATTACTACCGTCTTCCTTTGTCTTATATCAGTATAGCTATATAATTTGCTAGATCTATTGACTAAAATTTTCTATTTCGGTAACATTCTGTTTTCTGGTATGAGTTGTGGGTTAAGTGGAAGGATGTTTAGGTCTCAATCTTGATTCAGTATTTCATGTTTTGAGGTGGTTTACAAAGGCATAGGATATTTATGCATGAAAGTATTTGTTTTAAGTGTTATTTGGTGTTGAGAATTTACAGAAAATCATTGGGTGTTGAAGGGGGTTGAAATTTGTTTTTTCTTAAAAAAATTTAAGAGAATAGATGAATATATAATAAAATTCTTGCTCCCAGAGTCATAGGAGGTCACATAAAACTATTATTTGGCATTTAGATTTGCCATAGGGCTTCAGAAATTCTTGCTACTTAATCTTGATAGAAACAATCAAAACACACACGTATCCAGACACACACACACGGGTACATGTGATAAATGAAAATTATGAAATGGAGTATCTGTGCAGTTTTTTCAGTTAAGTCCAACAAATATATTGTGCATCAGAGCATTAATCTTTTGTATATAAGCCTCAAGATTTCTTGAGTTTAAGGCTTATTGATTGATCACTTTGATGTCCCTCTCTATATGTCCTGAATCCTATTCTCCATTAATTTCTTCAATCTGGAAGCTTCTATTTTGATGTCTGGTTTTTATTTTCTTTTAGAGCACATTTTAAATAGTGTTGATAACTATGTTGATACTAACGTCTTTTTCTTGTTGATCAGCATTGGTTATATCAATCCCGAATTATACGCTTTGGGAGCAGATAGTTGGAGTTCTAATGCCTCTCAAAAGCTGTCAGAATCAGATGTCTGGATGCATAATTATGCTAATGCGCTGTGCATAAATTCTTGGCAGGTACTTGCTGAATCTTATATTCTTAATTACAAGTTACTGTTTCTACACTTTTTCTGCCCAAATTTTGGCTATAAAGTTGTGAAACGGACTTTATGGTGCAATTCGAAAGTTAGAATACTCTCTTTCCTGGTTGCAGCATTTTCTCTTCTCCTCGTGATATTCGTTGACCTGAAAAAACAGCAATCTTTCTTCTTCTTGTCTCATTTAACAAAATTCTCAGTTTGGACTTTTGAGAATCCCATGCTAACTTTATAAAAAACGGTTTTCTGTTGGAGCTTGTTAGTTGATACAAAAAGGCTGCTCAAGCACCAAGATAGACAAGTGAATTATTTAATATGTTAATATTTTTTAGACTGAAACAAACATATCCCGCATTTTCTATCCCAATTGAACATACGAGGACTAACAAATGCTCGCACATATATGTATGTACATATATGCATTGTCATTGCAAAATTTTTTATACTATCAACTGATAAGAAATCAGTCCTGTTATAACTTTAAGGTGGTTACTATACAAATCAACTAATTTATCATACATGACTACTTGTTATTGGATAGCAATGTAGAAAACTTTAACGTTGTCAGTGTCAATGCGTGATTTATTTATTCTTAAAATATGCTTTATGCTTTGACATTTTTGTATTGTAAGTAAACTGAGTTTCATATTCAATATACTAGCATTATTTTTTCATAAACAATAAATGCAGGACATTTTTGTGGTGCTAGTAAATTTTGATGGTTTCTGCTGTGGTGCTGTATGTAAAAATATTATTCACAAACTTACCATACATGTATTATTTAATTAGAAAAAACGTGAGTCTTTTTTGCTTTCAAAATAGCTTAATTATTCTGTAGGGAAATCTTGGGTTTTACTACCATTTGATATTTAATTACGGCAACCAATAATGCTATAAGCAGTAAGGAGCGTGTGTGAGATATCATTTAGTCATTTGAATAGTGATTTTCTCCTTGTTTAGGTGAAGAGATATGTAGATGCTTACTCAGCTTCATCAGCAGTTGGATTTTCTCGTGATGACTTATCACGAATAGCAAACATCTATGCTGCAGCGGAGAATCATTGGTCACATTCCACCAAAAAGCTTCTGCTTGATAGACAAAATGACAGCAATACATCAGTGTCTGCACTTAAGAAGCAAATTGAAGCATACTTCAAGTTCCTAACAGCAGTCACTGAATTAGCTCGGTCTAAATGGACTGAATTTGATTTGAATATGATGGGAGTTGGCATTGGAATCATGTTAATATCACTTATATTTCAAGTTTTTACCATTTTAAGGACAACCAAGGAGCATGATGGGACATTTTCATCGTATGGAGATTCGTGGATGGGCAATGCCTCAATTCTTACAATCTTTTTACTGGGCATTCGTGCATTCAGTTTCCTTTCAAACAGTTATATCTGTAAGTGTGCAGTTTTTATCAACATACTCTCCACTTTGTTTATCCAGAATCTTTAAAATAGTCCTTGTATTTTTTCACTCTATCTTTTTGTCAGTGGAGGAAGGGAAAGTAGCGAATTTTCTTTTGAGCACATCTGGAATTGTGACATTACGCCAATCAGTTAACATGGGAAAGCTGTTAATAGAAGTATGTGTTTAGTTTAGTTTTTTATTTCTGTCCTCTGTCTAAAAGCTTAGTTTATGTCTGGATTTCCTGACATTCTAACGCAAGTGTGCCTATAGAATTTTCATTGGAATTATAATTAAATAATGGCTCTTTAACCTGTCTATGTTTTCTGCAGAGCATTGGGTTTCTTATTTTGAGCACATTTTGCCGTTTTGCAATTGAAGTTGGGCTGTCCAAGCAGGCTGCCACATCTGCTTTTATGAAAGACTATTCCTCATGGATCATCAACATAGCCTCAGGTTTACCTGTTTGGGACTATGCAGCTGAAGTTGTCCCAATACTTGTTCTGATTATGTTGGCAGCTTGGCTGTACAAGGCCACCAGTGGCTGCTTCTTTGATTGGCCATGGAAGTTTGTCATACTGGGCACTATATTAAGTTATATGCTAATAATTGCTCATTGGATCACAGACAGTAATAGATTTGATGGCGCATTGATACCTCAAAGCATTGGAAGAACTTATATTCCTAGAATCATTTATGCTATTGCTTTGGGGCAGTTATTTTTTCTGACATTTGGTCAATTATTTAAGAAAAGCGATTTAGATTGCAAAACAAATTTAGTTGCAAAAACAACATCCATGTTATCTGCGTGGAGTTCAACTGTCATTCTTCTCTCAGGAAAACAGGGTCCCATTGTTGCTTTTGCGTCCATGGTTGGAGGTGCTCCTTTTTTATTTTTTTGCTCGTGTTGTATAAATTGTCTATATCTTGCTGCATAATTCTCCAATTCATTTCTTTCATGAGCTCAAACATGCTTTTTAGTGAAGAAATGTTTAATTTTCTATGTGTTCCAGGTTGTTTTATTATGAAGTTTGTTAAAATAGAAGGTGGTAAGGATGGACCTCAGAGAAGTTTTTCTATAATGCAATGGAGCCTCTTTGCTACGTGTCTTTTCTTCTGTAGTGGTCACTGGTATGTCTGTAACTTTCAAAGTTTAATTTTGGAGTTATAATTATCATTTTTAGTAGGTGTATGCATAACATTGCAACTCTCTGTTCTGCATTCCCGTTGTCTTGTAATAATTTTGAAAATTATGGTTTCAGGTGTGCATTTGATGGTCTCCGCTACGGTGCTGCATTTATAGGGTAAATAATTATTATTGAACTCCTTTTCCTTTGGAAGTATGTTGGGACTCTAAACAAATGTAACCATTACAATCAACCCTATTATTGTGTTCGAATAATTAGTTACTGGCTTTAAAAGGGTCATCTCTGTCGTTATTATTGCTATACACTTTGTAAATCAAATAATTGAGACTGATTAATTTTCAGGTTTGAAGAATTTGTGCTTGTTCGCCAAGCAATCCTCCTTACTATTGATACATTTGGCTTTTCTATCATTCTTCCAGTTTTTGGACTCCCGTTTCTTGTAGCAATCAAGTACCAGGCTAATCTCGGAAGGCATTTTGTTTTCACACAATTGTCTCAAGTGAGTTTTCTTCATTTATTAGTAGATCTACTAGTTGATCATTGCATGCATTGCTTGTTCAATGAAATAACCACTCAATGTTTTATATAGATATACACAACATATGGGCTCATAACAGCAATGACGACCACTTTCACGATACTATGTGTCACAATCCAAAGGCGGCATCTGATGGTAAATTTTCTATTTTTAACTTAAAATAGGTTTGATTTACCCATATATCCATATTTGATGCTTGTACAGTTTACTCAATGCTTAATAATTTTTGTAGGTTTGGGGTTTGTTTGCTCCGAAGTTTGTTTTCGACGTGTTCAATCTTATTTTGACGGATGCATTAATTTGTTTGGCCTCAATTTACTATTTTGATGAAGGGAGGGATGATCCAGAACTGAAATCACCAGTTCGCTGAATAGCATACGTATACTATCCATTTACATTTTTTGTTCATGTTTCTCACAGTTTGAGTTTTTCCCGCTGAACGAATTTTGTCCACTAATTATGTAATATAGAAATATTTGCAACTCAAATTGATTTTTTCTTACCCAATCAATCAATGCATGATTTTTTGGTGACGCTATCTAAGAAAATATTTTCATGAACTTGATTTTTCTACGGACTTTTACCATCTATATTTTGGCAAGTAGTTGGTTGTGTCAGGATTTATTTAACTAAATTTAATTATATTGGATTAAGTCAGTATTATCTTTGCTATATTTAGCAATCCAATTTAATATAATTGGTTTGAGTAATTAAAAAAGGAAGTTATTTACTTAGGAATTTTTTTAATTAAATATTTCTATCATTTTTAACAATTATAAAATAATGATAATACTTAATATATATATATATATTATACAATGTACAATTATATTTTACAGTAAAACTAGTAGATGAATAGTGTTGTTTAATTAATGATGCACTTTTCAGGTTACTCAACCACGAGTACTAGTACGGTAGAGGTATTATGATATTAGTCATTCATAGGTATTTGGAGTGAGGATTATCAATTATATGCAATATTAATGAAATTTGAATGTAATTTATAAATTTTTATATTATGTTCAATATTTTCATTTTATTCAATATAAAATTTAAATTTATATTTAAATCCTTTTACATTCTTGACCTTTTTAAAGAAATTTATTTAAGTGATTTAATAATAATAACACTTAAAACGAATTCATATAATATATTTAATATTATTCGGAATTAAAAATCTTGAAAAGTAATGAGTTTACAAAATTTTCTCAATATTTTCATTATCAATAAGACTTGAGTTAAATATATATAAAATATTTAACATCACTTTCAAAAAAAGATAATAAATTGATAACTTTTTGTAAACATCTTAATTTTTATTTAATATAAGACTTATATTTATACTTGTATTTTTAATATTATTTTTAATAAGTGATATATTTTTTTGTTCTTTTGTGTTTCGTTTGAAACTAAATTATAAAAGATTTTATCCCTAAACTTTACAAAAATCATATAAAATATCACTTCAATCTATGGACATGCAAAATTATATTATAGCCTAATGTGAAACTCTTTTTATATCAGAAACACTACTCATTTGATTTGTTGGATGAATGTTTTACATGCATTGAATCATATATACTAACATTATTGACTATAGAATTTGGTAATATATACAATTGATAAGTCAAATATTAAATATATTGTTCACTAGAAGATTGTTGACTAAACCATTGTTAATTGTGTAGATTTTTAGTGATGCGTATCTAAGAGCAAGAAGTCTTAAAGGAAATTGGTGAACAGTAAACATAGTTTCTTTTAAGTATTTATGAAAAAAGATGACTGTTGTGATGTTAATCAACATATTTTATATCGATTAAGGTCTTTGTCGATATAAAAGTAATTTTTATTGTATATTTTTCTTTATCCAGGTAGAATTTCTATGTTGGGTTTAAAACCGACTTATATAGTCTATTTCTAACATAAGAAAAAACCTTTTTTAGCCAGAGTACAAAGACTTCTTACACTAGTGAATCCCTTTTATAACATGATAGGATTGGAAAACATATTTAATCTTATTTTGATTTCGATTAGTTATCATCGATACAGTAATTTTATTTTAGTAAGTGTTCTATTAGTATTACATGCGAATTTTCATTTAGCAAGCATATTTTGTACACTACAGATTTCTTTAATTTATTATTTACACACATATGACAGTTGTTATTAGCGCTGTAAATATCACAATGCATGAAAGTTAAGAGAAGAGATAAAAGATGCACTGTTGCATAATAGAGATGGGAGGCTCTGATATTAACGATGTTGTTGGATCACTTCTGCTTTGTTTTGTCAGCAATGAAACATTTATAGTTTGGTGCAGTTTATGGGCGGACAATGTTATCAATCAGATCAAACCTCAAAAAATTCCAAAACTACCTTTAGCATATGTTTGGCTTTAGCAAAGTCAGTGGTAGGTTTTGTCCAAGTTATCACATCATCATCATCATCATCACCATCTTTCTCTTAAAGATACTCTTATTTTTACTAATTTTTACAGCCGGTTTAGCATACTATGCCAACACTACCAGCCAATGGAGATATCCCTTCTTACAAAGCATTGTATGATTACTCATTAGCAAGTTTTCTGTCACCCTTGTCATGAAAGCAACTGGGTGATCATTATAAATAAAGCACACTTTTCAAACGGATTGCACTACAAGCAAGCTTTCCTTCCTATTTCTCTCAGAGTTGTTGCTGCTTTCAAGCTGTAACATTCCATTCGGGAGTCATGGTAACTATCTGCATATTGCCTGCAATATGCAGTTTTAGACTTTGCCCGTATAAGGGTTTACAGTTTTCTGGTTCATATATATTATACATTATCCACATCCCTTTTGTTATCTGTTTATCTTTGGCTCATTCAAATAGTTCAAAAATGATTCTGCATGCTCATTAACAAATCAGATCACTCTTAGATGTTTATTCATTTGGTTAATTGAATGCGATGTTTTACACTGCAGGATTTGAAAGCTGAGGATAAGGTGGGAGATGTTGAGTACCAAGCAGATAAGACTACGAGACAAGGAGGATATACAGCCACAAATTCGAGTGTAGTATATATATATTAGTATGTGTGCATAAAATCAGATTCAATTTACTTTTTTATGTTTTAGTTCTTCTGTTTCCTTTTACTTTTTTAATCAGTTTTAAGTTTTTACTAACATTAATTCTTTACACATCATTCAAGCAAAATTTAGCGAGGATTGACTATTCACAGCAATTAGAAGGAATAATAGAAGATCTAATAGTAAGCAAACATAAGAAACCACAAAATGATCCAAGAAAAAAAAACTATGATTTTGGAGAGTTATGCACAGACTTCAGAAGATTAATAAGATGATCTTCTAAAGCCCTTTTGTGCTCCCCCAACAGCCTTTCAATCATTTGAGTTTGACACTCATTTTGCTACACGATCAATTTCCTAATCTCATTACTGCTTAATCTTTTCCTTCAAGTTGTTTTCATGACCAATATTTTCTATTAACTCTGCATGTGGAACAAGGCCAAAATACTTGACTAACAATGAGGACGTTCCCATTTTACAAACAATTTCTTCGCATCACGACACCAGTTCACTATGTTTCAACAGGGGAATATGTCCCAAGTCCTAGCCCAATAATTGCTTAGTCAGATAGGTTTATTACTGATTCTAACAAATCCCACTAATGAGCTCAACTTTTGTGTTATGGCATCTTCAAATTTAGCAGCAAGCTGGGCAGACTAACTTGAAACTTGCCATTTGCTAGTAAGAACAGAGCCAAGTCAGCCATTCAAAAAGTGATATCCAAAACAAACACTAAGTCTTTAGAGTTATGGGGTCACCTTAGTCAGTGTAGCAGGGTACATGTGTGACCCATATAAAGGATAGATGGTGACCATGTGAATTCCACGTGACTATGAAATAGAAGGTTGTTAGACCGTCTGACATATTTTAGATTCTCCTATGTTTATATGTAGTAGACCATATAAGTAGATTGTCTCGTTAAATGTCTAGTCTCATAGCAGTGGTAGGATTGTCTGATAAGGTGTCTAGCGTCTACTCAGTTCTATTTTGAAAAGCATTGTTCCTTTATCTTCCTCATGATTATAGGCATGTCTCGTATATGTCCATGTGGCTTCAGTATAAAGCTAACATTTGAGATATAATGAATTCTTATGTGGACGTAGATTGAAGCTTTTTAATACTTCAATGGAACCTCGTTAACTTCTGTGTGTGATTATTGTTCTTTCTCATATTACCTTCTGTCATTTTCAGCACTTGCAGTTATATCTTTATTTCTATTTTGTTTGTGTGTAGATGTTTATGAGTGAATTTGTGAGTTATTCCATAACAAATATCATTCATAAGTATAAGAAACAATGAAAAAACAAGGCATTTAGATTAACATCTAGCGGAACAGAAATAAAAGGGAGAGAACCTGTTGGATTGTTTGCAAGTAGAATATCTCCCACCTCAATCTGGAGATGAAAACTGGAAAAAGTGAATATTGACACGGTTGATGCCAAGAGATAGAGAGACATAAATAAAGCTATAAATACAGTAGACCTGCCAATAATCTTCATGAGTAAGTGGAACATAAGTATGATCACCCTTAAAGTGCCTCCAGTCAATACCACCAAAGACAATCTCACCCCCTACCTTTGACATTGGGTCTGGGTTTAGCCAGAGGGAGAAAATCTTTTGAGTCACATGCCCTTGTTCTATCATGTTGTACCTGCATGATATATCATGTTCTAAGGGTATAGTTTGATTTTTCTTCTATCCTTTAGTCACCAAAGACTATCACAGAAGCATGTGCTCTTGCTCACTCATTATTGAAACGGAAAAATCAAAAGATCAAATCAAGGAATATAATAATAAACAGACGGATCAATTACCACACTGGTGTGACTTGTCCCACTGACTTGTTCAGGAATCCAAGTCCAAGTATCCCATCAAAATGATGTGCTAAAAACGCCAGAGGTCCTTCCTTTGTAATCTCAGCAAATTGCTGGATGAAAAGTAACCAACCATCAGAATAACCCAACAGTACAGATACATTTGAATGAAAGTACTAATTAGAGTCATAAAGACCTGATCTTTGACGATGAGTTCCCCTACTCTTAAATTATCTTGGCTGAAGAAGCCAGGAATGTGTCCATGCCCATAAGGGATCCTGCAAGATGTTCCTGGGGATTTCCCAAACAAAAACTTCAGTATAAGCATTATCAAGTACAACAAGGAAAATGATAGCCAAATATTATCTAATACACTCATTTATCTGGTGATGTACACAAAGGTCTCACTGAATATAAGTTTCATTTCCCATTTGGTAAATCGTGTCCTTCAATTAGTAGCATTAACATGAACTAATAAGACAAGCTTTGAACGTGTAAAACCAAATGGAATAACTTCATATTCAATGTCATGCTAATTCGGACTTACCTATTTTCGTATAGGTGTTAGATAGCTTGGATCTATACTTGGAATGAAAATAGCAAGCAATCTGCAGGTAGCACATATATCTTGTTTTAAAAATAAACTCAGCCAAAAAGAAAAGAAAAATCCGAAGGAGTATCCATATAGGGTATCTAACTTACAGACAAAATACATTTGGAAGAAGGAACCCACAGATTCGAGCTTCCAGTGTCAAACACAACTCTGAAGGTTTGAGGAGGTGACCCAATACCAATTTCTCCAAAATACTGTGCATCAAGATAATTCTTCAGATACACTGTATCTGGTTTTAAATGATGAACAGCCTCCCTGATCCTTGCAGAACTAAAACTGTTAATGTCCAAACTCCTCTTTCTGAGACCAACCCTTAATAACTCCTTATCAGAAGCAGCCAAGGACGCAAACCAAGCACATACACACGTCACAACCAGCAAATACTTGAATGCCATGTTCTCATCAACTCATCTGTTAATTGGCAATTCAACACTTTAAAGGCATTTTCAACTGTTCAACAAAACTCATAATGCATGTATGCATAACTCTATAGCGTAGTATCTATCATGATAAACTCGAAAAAGAAAGAGAAATACCTGATATAGAAATTATTCTTAAAGAATGAGAAAGAGTTACGTTATAGTGCAGGCACGGAACTACAACACAGGTGTAACATGGCATTCATATATAAATCTAAGCATGATAAGGTTGCTTGGTACCTGTTAGTAAGTAGTGGGTAAGAAGGAAGTGTTAACATTTTGCTACCCTTTCACCTAAAAGACCAAAATATGGCTCCTTCGATTTTTCACTTGGATTAACCGTGCATGGAAACCACAGCGTAGTTTCGCGTAGGATAATGCAATTTTTAGTACGGTAAACGAAGTAGCTTCGGCACTTCACAACATACAATACTAGAAAACTGAGAGTTTCGATTAAGTGGATTATTTGGTATGTTATTCCACCTAAGTACGAGTAGCAGCGTTAACGATGTTGTCGCAAGGATACTTGATCGAAATTTTTTGTTTTTATGGAATCCCACTTTTCCTAGTTTGTCACGGGCAGTGGGATTATTAATTATTTATTTTCCCCTACCTTTCTTTTCTTCGTTAACATAAATTGGTCATTAAACTAATATGACTTACGTCTTCTTCTCTCTTCTTCGTCTCAAATTATTCAATTCTTGATATTTGTTGGTGATGTAAGGTAAGGTATTCCATGATTTATGCGAACAATCCTGCATTTTTTATAGTTCAATAATATTATCTTTATTATATGTAATAAAAAAAGTTTTTTTAGTTTCATGTAACTTAATTTACATTTTATCTATAAAAAAAATCCCTATTAAAAAATTAAACTTATGATTTTTTTAATAATTAAAAATATAAACATAAAAATGATTCTTTATAATTTTTAAATATTAATATTTGAAATAGTTCAAAATAAGCATTTTTTTATTAATTAAAATATATAAAATATTCCTAATCTCCCTCCTTCTTTCCCTGTTCGGATGTCTGCTTGTTCTTTATATACCCCTTGTCCATTACCGTTTATCTATTTCCTTCAATCCTGAACCACCCTAATTCTTTTACCCTTAAACCCATTAAAACTTAACCCTTGCCTCCTTTTACCCTACTAAACCTTACTTATACCCTACTATCTACTTCGTGTTGGCTGCACGACGACTATTTATCACCTGTATATAACTAAAAATAAAACCCCCCCCCCCCTACCCTCCCCTCCGACCCTTATTCTATGTACACAAAAGGATTTCAATTGGACTAATTTTAAAAAGATTTAGAAAGACCTTGATTTTATATAAGTTTAAAAATTATAAATATCATTTTATGTTTAATATTTTTAATATAAAAAATCAAAAATCAAATAAGTTTAATCCACTGGACTTTATGACATGTAACTTTCAGTTTCCTGCATCCCTCTTTTTTTATTAATTCACACTAATCGTATCTATCCTCCCCCTCCAACCTCAAAGAAACACCCCGACTTTACCCCACCTCCGAACTAACAATCAATTATGAATTTATTTAAATTCTGTAAGATGAATTTAGGTAATATTGTTTTGACAAAGTTAAGAAAATCGACTTGGTATAATACGGAAGCGGGGGTAGTGAAATGAAGAAACTCGGGAACGACGGGTCTTCATCGCGGCGGGGCGGTGGCGGTGGAAAGGAACAGAAGCGTGGGAAGTGGGGATACATTTGCCACTGTGGTGCGGACGTTGTTGCTCCACCTCCCGTTGCCATCCCTTTTCATCCGCCGTTTTCCTTTCTCTACCCGTCCCTCTCCCTCCTAACCGCAGACTTCCATACCCACAGTCACTTTTCGTGACGTGTCAAGCTCCCCTTGCTTCTCTTCCAACAACGGATCTTTGCTGGACTAAACCCGCAGTCAACCGTGCTTGTCCTCATCGTTCTTGATGCTCTCAGGTACACTACTCTGTCTGGACGAGTTCACATTACCACCATTCATCAATCGGTTTTATTCTGTGATTCACGCTTTTCAGGTTTATTTCGTGGTCCCCAGTACCTTCTTCGCAGGTTACCTATCTCACCTATTCTTCACTTGCTAAACCATTTCTTTTGCTTTCTTTCTTTTTTTCTTCTCACGATTCGTTATGTTTTGTGACAGAGTCGAAACCGTGGATGGATAAACTGCCAGTTTTGAAGAATGCGGCGGCGACGCGACCTGTTGTCTGCAAGGATTTTTCAAAGGCCATTGCTGATCCGCCTACACAAGTTTGCAGCGCTTGAAGGTCTAATCGATTTGCTTTTCTTTTTTATGAATTCATCGTTATAATCATGAATTAGTATTGTAATCTTCTCAGTTGCTAGACTGTTTTGAATGTCTATGAATTCGGGATTTTTTTTTTGTTTCGTATCTTGAACTGATGTAGGGTTTGACAACTGGTGGACTTCCGACTTTCGTCGATGTTGGTAATAGCTTTGGTGCCCCGGCAATTGTCGAAGATAATTTTATAAATCAGGTAGGTATTCTTTCTAGCTTCTTGCTTGTAATCTAGGTTTTATATTAGAGTCGTAGTAGCGATTGTGGTTTCGTTGCGATCCTTGATATGTGGGTAAATGAGGCCCTGTGGACACAATTGAGGTTGCGATGCAGTCATAGTGAGTAGAGAGTCCTTGACATTGTGGTCGTTTTTTTTAAACCTTGTCTGTAATGTTTGTCATTCAAATATTGCTTCACTACTTTGATCCCAGATTGGAACAGGTTCTTGTTAAATTTGTGCTAATTTATGTGCTCAATCGCAGTTGGTTCAAAATGGAAAGAAAGTTGTCATGATGGGGGATGATACGTGGACTCAGTTATTTCCTCATCATTTTGAAAGATCTTATCCATACCCGTCTTTTAACGTCAAAGATCTTCATACGGTAGGCCGTCTGTCGTGTTAAACCCAACTTTTGATTAGACGTTTAATCCTTGCAGTCTATGTGAATTGAGTATGGGTGGCTTTAGTCTTTTTGTTTAATCTATCATTTCAGTGAATATGAAATATTGTTGTTTATTTTGTAGGTTGACAATGGGTGCATTGATCACCTATTACCATCCTTATATGAAGAAGATTGGGATGTTCTTATTGCCCATTTTCTTGGAGTGGTATGTTTGATATTTTTTAATGCTATACACCTAATATCAGCATTCTATACTTGTTATTCCTGTTCTCGTTCTCCTTACTGTTTTGATAAGCAATTTTCGTGATGCTGTGTATGGTATTCTGTTTGGTTCAGGATCATGCAGGACACATATTTGGTGTTGACTCTACCCCAATGATAGAAAAGTTGGAGCAATACAATACCATCTTAGAGGTAGTTTTTTTGTAATCCTTGATTTACAATATTTGTGTTAATCTTGTATTCATGTTTTATCCAAATATTTGTGGTAATCTTGTATTCATATTTTATCCAAATTTTTGGGTTTAGTATTTGCTGATTTCCATGGGTTGATAAACAAACTAATGTAAGTTGTTTTAGAGAGTTATTGAAGTTCTGGAAAATCAGTCTGGACCTGGGAGCTCACATGAAAATACTTTGCTTGTGGTCATGGGTGACCATGGACAAACATTAAATGGTGATCATGGTGGTGGGAGTGCTGAAGAGGTGTGTGCAGCACTTATAGTGTCTTTTCATATGCTTTTTTTTTTTTCATTTATAAATTTTTCCCAATTTGACTTAGGATACTGGTGATGAAATCATGCAGGTTGAAACTGCCCTTTTTGCCATGAGTTTTAAGAAGCCTCTTTCTTCTGTACCTGCAGAATATGATTCTTGTTCTTGTCAACAGGATCTGGTATTTACTATTCCTTTTAAAGTGTAAACATAGACAATAAACATGGTGTCTTCCAAGTTTCTTTTATCTCTCTCCGAATTTCAACAATCTTTTGCTTCCTCTTGCACATGCCCATTACCTTTAGTGCAAGAAAAATCAAGGAATGGAGAGCATAATTGGGAGTGGATAAATAATGTATACTTATGTATAAATAAGTTATTGAGAGGACCTCTAGTAAACTATAACGCTGACTTCATGGCTATCTAGCTTAAAGGATACACTCGGATAAATATTCATTCTTTATAGGTAGTGTGATCTGTAACATCCCAATATATATAGTGTAAACTATAATAAAGAGAAGCAACATGCATGATAAAATAGTACAGTTATCCATCTAAAGCATAAAGTGATAACCTTTACAGTCATCCAAAAACAACTTATAAATTTTCAAACTTTATACACAGACTAAAGTCTACTCAAAACTATAACAAAGTTCTATTGAACTAGGCTACTAACTCAGCCACATCACCTCCCTCCAAAGCTTGCTCCAGGGAAACTTTCTTTTCCGCTGGCTCACATCCAAGGATGGTCATCGTAGAAGGAACAACAGCAAAGAAAATACAAAACACAAGCATACAACAGGGTAAGCTAGTTTAAAGAGAATTAATCATACATCCATCAAAAATTCATACAAACATAGTTATTCATTCACATCACTTAAATTTTTCACACATAAACACACCACCTACTGACTTTTGGTTTTTTTTTTTTTTTTTTTTTTTTTTGACTGTCCGACTTAGAATGAATTTGCCAAGCTATGGTCGGTCGTGCACTCGTGGTGGCTTCTAACTCCTTTGCAAATCGTTGCTAATGGGTTTCACACACCACACTCACGAGCTGAGTCGTATCAACTCACCTTGAGGCCATACTGGAAGCACCCAAACTAGGACCTCCTGTAACCTCCCTCACGACATGAAATCAATGCCTCTCGACTTGAGAATGAAAGACTCATTGGAGTTCAGGTAACCCCCAGAAGCTAAGCTCCGCATCCATTCTAAACTTACTTGAATCTCAACTAAGATATTTCACTTTGAATCAAACTAGGGCACCACCATGTTCTCCTCTCCTTGAGAGATCATGGCAATTATGTCATAAACCACACTTGAACTTTACACTTTTGATTACAACATACCACAATCACCACAATATTACATGATACAACTTGCAACTTACTTCATACAACACTTATTGATGCATATCAACAACATAAGAT